ATAAATGAAAAACTCATTTTCTAGATGTCTACCTGAAAGTGCTGTAGCTAAATTTAAGAAAATAATGATCTTCTTTAATGATAAAATTCTAATGATTAGAAATAAAAGTGTCTCCTGTCCTCAGTTGACACTAATACACCATCAAACACAGAAACCTCAGAAACAGCTGAGAATCCTACCGATTCTTCTCTCTGATCACCCTTGATCAGCTAACCACAACAATCTCATCCTCTAAACCCACAACTTGTATCTTATTCCAATTCCTACAAAGTTTTATTTATTTAGTTTTTATTTAATTAATATTACTTTACTGGATATAATCAATCTATCATTATCATCAGGATATGCACCACATTCCTTTAAGATAGCCATAATCAAACCACTTCCCAAAAAACCCACCCTGGACCCGGAGATTTTAGCCAACTACAGACCAATATCCAACCTCCCTTTCCTGTCTAAAATCCTCGAGAAGATTGTAGCCAATCAGCTGTGTGAGTTTCTCCAGGAAAGTAATGTATATGAAGACTTTCAGTCAGAGTTTAGAGCTCATCATACAGACAAACAGACAGCCTTGGCAAAAGTCACTAATGATCTTCCAATAGCTTCAGATCAAGGGTTTGTGTCTGTCCTTGTCCTGTTAGACCTTAGTGCAGCATTCAACACTATTGATTATCAGATTTTATTACAGAGATTAGAAATGCTAATTAGCATTTAAGGAACCACCCTAAACTGGTTTAAATCCTATTTTTCAGATCGATTCCAATTTGTGCAAATTAATGATGAGCCATCTGTGCATATCAGAGTTAACCATGGTGTTCCAGAGGGCTCTGTGCTTGGCCCAATTTTATTCTCATTATATATGCTTCCACTAGGAAACATTATCAGGACAAATTTGGTAAATTTCCACTGCTATGCGGATGACACCCAGTTATACTTATCAATAAAACCACAACAGTGTAATCAGTTAACTTCAAGCATGTCTCAAGGACATAAAAACCTGGATGACCTACAATTTTCTGTTAATAAACTCAGATAAAACAGAGGTTCTAATACTTGGCCCTAAACATCTTAGAGAAACATTAATTAATGATATAGCTGCGCTAGGTGACATCGCCCTTGCTTCCAATGAACCAGATAAGAATTTGGGAGTCATCTTTGATCCCAATTTGTCCTTTGATTCTCACAAATTTCTAGGACTGCCTTCTTTCACTTACGTAATGTCTAAAAAATCAGACATGTCCTGTCTCAAAAAGATGCAGAAGCACTAGTCCACGCCTTTGTCATAACCAGATTATTGTAATTCTCTATTATCAGGCTCGAGCAGTAAGTCGTTAAAGAACCTGCAGCTTGTCCAAAAAGCTGCAGCACGTGTCCTGACAAGAACCAGGAAAAGAGATCACATATCTCCTGTATTAGCTTCATTACACTGGCTTCCAGTTAAATCGAGAATAGAATTTTTAATTCTCCTCCTAACCTACAAGGCCCTTAATAATATGGCACCATCATACCTTAAAGAGCTCATAGTACCATATCACCCCACTAGAGCACTGGGCTCCCAGAATTCAGGATTACTTGTCCCTAAAGTCTATAAAGGTAGATAAGGAGCCAGAGCTTTCACCTATCAAGCTCCTCTCCTTTGGAATCATCTCCCAGTTTCAGTTCAGGAGGCAGACACCCTCTCTACATTTAAGAGTAGGCTTAAAACCTTCCTTTTTGATAAAGCTTATAGTTAGAGCTGGTCCAGACTTGTGGTGATGGTAATGGCAGATCCTGTATCGTGCTGGCATCTGATTGTAGTGGTGGACCATGATTAAGGTGACAGCTGATGGTGGATCATGATGGCGGCAGTGGATCATGATGATGGATTATAATGGTGTATCCTGATCATGGTGGCAGCTGATCGTGGACTATGATTACAACAAGACTGCTTGACATACAATATGTCTCCTCGACCATTACTGACAATAATTCCTCAATTAATTTACCTTCCATCATGCTACAAACTATTTACTCTAACCAAATGCTGTAATTACTCTACTATTTCTCTGACGTTCACCATTACACAAGGCATCTATTGCACTTTTGTCCATGCTGGGAGAGTGATCCCTCACATGTGGCTCTCTCTGAGGTTTCTACATTATTTTTTTTCCATGTTAAAATGGTTTTTGGTAGTTTTCCCTTACTCTTGTTGAGGACTAAGGGCAGAGGATGTCACAGCTTACTAAAGCCCTATGAGACAAATTGTGATTTGTGAATATGGGCTTTACAAATAAAATAAAATTGATTGATTGATTGATTAAACACACAGCAGCTTCACTCTGCACATGTTGTGACCCTTAAACAATACATGTAACATTATGTATAGTCACGTTGTTCTTCCTCAGTGTTTTTTTCTCAACCCCATCAGCATTAACATTAATAGTATTCTCTGGACCTTTATCTAATACGATCAGTGACGACATGTTTAGCCACAAGTTCCTCAAAACTTTCTTGAGGAAACCAGGTCTTGTGAGGAGAGACAGTGTTCATCCCACCCTGGATCTCTTGTCTAGGAATATAGCTCATTTTATAAACCCAAAATGACAACTCAGAGTTGGGACTGGGAGGCAGACTTGCAGTCCTATATGCTGCACTCCCTTTAGATCAGTCACACAACCACAACCTGTGTCTGCCCCCCATTCCATTAAATTATTTAAATAAATGATTAATAGAGGTAGAATTCAACACAAAACATTTTTTTACAAAACTTTTGCAACACAACCAAGAAAGATAATTAAATGTGGACTCTTAGACGTAAGATCA